AACTCGAGCGCGGCGAGACACTTCGCCAGCATGTGGCCGGCGTCGATCTCGTTCGCCTCGGTCCACGGCGCGACGCCCAGGTCACGCGGGCTGACACCCACACGCGCGAAGATGCGGCTCTCGAAGGCCGTCGCATTCTTCTTCTTTGGCGTCGCACGGAACACGTGGACCTCCTTGAACGGCGTCGGGTACATGGCGACGTCGTAGTTCGCCAGCCGGTGCAGCTCGAGGCGCCGCGCCGAGAGCGGCGCAACGTTGCGGATAAGTGTGTCCTCGCGCCACGCGTGTTTGCGGCTNCAGCCGGTGCAGCTCGAGGCGCCGCGCCGAGAGCGGCGCAACGTTGCGGATAAGTGTGTCCTCGCGCCACGCGTGTTTGCGGCTGTACGTGAAGGTGTGCGGGCCGCCGGGGACACCGTGCGCAATGAAGGTGACGCGCAGAAGCCCCCCCTCCCGCCCCAGCGCCGCGGCGTGGTCATTGAGCAGATTCTGGCAGAGCCGCGCCGCCTCCTCCTCCTTCAGGTGGCGGCTGATCGCCACGAAGACGGTGCACACAACGGGTTCATGCGGTGCGTGGTGCAGCACGTCGGTGAGCGTCATCTCCCACCTCGTCCGAAGCACTTGCTCGTCGGGGAACATCATGCAGCAGCCGGCGCCATAGCTCTCGGCGATGCCGTTTTGGATGTCAGGGTCTGTGAAGGATGCTTCCTCCGCGCGCAGCGGGTCGTGGTCCTCCAGCGGCTCGACCTCGTAGAAGCCGTACCAGCAGCCGTCCTGCAGAAATATGTCGAGGTTTCGCACCCGGCCCTCGCCAAAGTACTCGCGGCGGACGTACAGCTCGAGGCACAACTGGGCGAGGTGCGGCGTCTGGCGGTCAAAGATGACTGCACACAAGAGATCGTTTCCATAACCTCCCTGAATGAGGTCTGTGAAGGAGCCCTCCTCGAGATTCTTGGCGAAGCTCGCCTTGCGCTCAGCGAAGGAAGGCAGGCTACACTGCCGCAACAGATAGCGTGCCTGTAGCGTGAGTGAGCCGTCAACGGTGGACCGCAAATCCAAGAGAGACGAGAGGGTGTCCTTTAGCGACTTGAGCAGCAACATGTTACTCTCCAGGGTGCCTAGCAGTGCCTTAATGACGTCATGGTGGCACGGCTGGTGGTGAGCAAAGTCCAGCTTGTAGACCTCCAGGGGATTATCATTTGTTTCGCGCAGATATTGGATGGCATCCTGCCGGCTGCGCGAGGAAAATGGTTTCTCCACGGCGATATAGTTCGCCACGAGGGCGTTTACGACTGCCTTGAGCTTTTCGTTGGGTGTATCCGCTGCAGCAGCCGTCTCCGGCGATAGGAACGGGACATTCAGCGCACTGAGCGCCACAGAGGAGAGACAAAGCGAGGAGAGATTCTCAAAAGCAAACTGTAGCCGCTTCTCGAACGGAATGGCGTTAAAGTGGTAGCCGCACAACATATTCCACAGCGCCTCTGCTCCACGCCGCGCGCGGGTGAGTCCGTCCGGGCGCTCCATCCGCCTGTCCTTCTCAGAGAGGAGGCCTGCCGGCCACTGCTCCTTCGCATCCTGCGGCCGCGCGACTTTGTTCGGGTCGTCCGGCGTGATGTCGCCGAGAAGCGTGCCGACGGCGATGGTGCTGCCAGGCGCCACTCGGTGGTGCAGCACTCCCGCCGTCGTGGCACGCATCGGCAGGATCATCTTCATCACCTCCACCTCCGCGATGGTGCTGCCTTCCTCCACGTGTCCGCCGTCGCCGACGACGTACCGCACAAAGCGCCCAGGGACGGACGAGCAGATCTTCGTCGGATCCATGTCGCCAGTAAAAGTGGTCTCCCTGCCGCCAATGGAGATGCGCAGACTCCGCGGCTCCTTCTCCGTGTAGGCAATGACGGTTTTACCTCCAATCGTGAGCTGCAGGGCACCCGACTTGAGTTTACGAAACGGTACCGTGACAACGCTGCCATTAAGGGAGATGGCAACCTCCGTTGGGCTCGTGAGGCCCATCGTGAGGGTGAACTTCTTGGATCGATTCACATATGTTTCAGTTTGACAGTTACTTAGGTATTCAGACGAAGGAACGTGCCCTGCGCCGAGGAAAGCGGTATACTTGTCAATATTCTCCTCATTGTTACGCAGCATTCGAAAAGTACAGGCAGCAATGAGGGCAAGGTGTACATCTTGCTGCTGCGGCTTCTGTGTAGCGCGCTCCGCAATCAGCCCGTCGAGCCAGGCGGTGCTGATGTCGCAGTCGCGGAACTCCTTCCGCTCGAGCAGTTCCAGCACGTACGACACCGATGTGTGGATCTCACCACGAATAACGAGGTTGCGCAGCGCCATCACCATACCGCGACGCGCGTCCTCGCGTGTTTCACCCGAGGAAAATATGTGTCCGAACTGCGAGTCGGCGAACTGGTGGATCTCGCCGCCGGGGCCGATGGAGAAGTAACCCCAGCACTCCTTGCTGTTCTTGAATGTGATCTCCTCCACGCGGCCGGAGGTGGGCCGGAAGCCCTCGTCGGTGTTCTCCGCGGTCACGCGCACGGCGATGGTGTGCCCCTTCGCCAGCAGCCCGCGGCGGAACGCGAAGTCAATCGCCGTCGTGCCGTACGGACGCTCGCCAAAGAACGTGCGCACCTCCGGCACGCGGTGCAGCGGGACGCCCATGCCGACACACAGCAGCGCGGCCGGCAGGTTGACGCCGGAGATGAGCTCCGACACTGGGTGCTCGACCTGAATGCGCGGGTTGAGCTCGAGGAAGAAGAACGTGTGCGTGACCTTGTCGTACATGTACTCGACGGTGCCGAGGCCGCGGTAGCCGACCGCCTTGGCGAGCTGTATCGCCGCCTCCTCCATTGCGGTGACGATGGCCGCGTCGACGCCAAAGACGGGGCCCTCCTCTATAATCTTCTGGTGCCGCCGCTGCACGGAGCAGTCGCGTGTGTGCACCGCGATGCAGTCGCCGTAGTCGTCCGCGAGCAACTGCACCTCGAGGTGGCGTACGTTCTCTAGCATGCGCATGACGAATATGTGGCATCCCTTCACCTCCTCCGACACAGCGGCAAACATATCACGGACGTCCTCCTTGCGCACACAGCGGCGAATGCCTTTGCCGCCGCCGCCCTCCGACGCCTTGATCATCACAGGGAAGCCGATGCGGACGCATACCTCCTCGCACTCCTCCGCCGTTGTGATGTACGCCTTCTCATACACCAGCGGGTCCACGTCGAAGGTGCCCGGCGGCAGGCGAATGTCGTCGCCGCTCCATGGCACCGTCGGCACGCCATTCGACTGTGCGACGATCGTCGAGGCAATCTTGTCGCCCAGCGTGAACATGGCCTCAGTGGAGGGGCCAAGAAAAGTGACTTTGTTCTGTGACTTGACGCACTCGCGCGGCAGCGCCGGGTTCTCCGAGGCGTGGCCCCAGCCGGGGTAGATGGCATCGCACGAGTTCTGCAGCGCTGTGTGCATGATGAGGTCCACGTTGGCGTAGTTGTTCGAATTGGGGCCGCCCGGCACCGCGACATTGCGGTCTGCGAGAGAGACAAACTCCGCATTGGCGTGCAGGTCCTCTGGCGTCGCCATCACCGCGAACTCAATCGCCTCAGGGTCTCCGATGTGTTCGTACAGCCATGAGCGAATGGAGTCAATGCCTTTGACCGCCGCAAGACCGTTGTTCGCGATGAGGAGCCGCTCAATTGTTTTGGTGCCACCGAGGAACTCTCGGAACTTCGACAGGCTGGAAAGGGTCGGCTGCTGGTGCTCCGACTGCCTCCACGCCGTACTCATTGCGCTTCGCTCTGCTTCTCGTAGCGGTGGGGGGCCGTTGGCTGGGCGATACTCAAACTGCGGTGCTGCGAGAACAGCAATGGCAACAGAGACAGGAAGGAGGAAAAATAACGGAGAGAAGGCATTGCACTAAAAAGGAACAACAACAAGAAAAACATCCCAATGCGAGAGAAACACCACACAACACACCAAATTAATGAGCTACAATAGAAGGTAACCCAGGCGACCAACGACAGCATCCAATTAGAGTCCATCAGGGTGATGTACCGCCTTCACTCCTGTGCGGGCGTGGACGACGATTCAGAACGAGCGCGCTTCAACAATGGCTCCACTTCCTCCACTTCCTCCTCCTCCTCCTCATCATCATCATCATCACCCCCAGAATCCTTACTTCCATCTTCATAGTCGCCCATATCGTCACTGCTTTCCGTGGTGCTTCCATTCGCAAGCATGGCAACGTCGTGCAGGGCGGGGACGATGGCTGCTGCCCGATGCGGCAGCTCGACGCCAAACTCGAGTGCCATGGCGTCGAACTCCACGTCCGTGATGCCCTTGATGCTGCGCTCCAGCGTGCTCGCAACGCTTGACGTCTCGGCGTCGACTGAGAGCGCTTCTTCAGGTGTCTCCTGCAGCGCATGTTCGAGTTTGCCGGCGAGCCCCGGGCAGCGAGCCCGCAGCTCCCCCGCGTGCTGCGACCACAGCCGCCCGCCTATCGCTTGACAGGCGTTGCTACCACCGCCGTCCTGCTCCTCCGCCGCTCTGCTCGCCGAGCTGTCCTCCTCACCGCTGCGCAG